GCGACGGAGGTGTGTGAGGCAGTGGGAGTTGTCTCCTCCAGAAATGAGATGGTTAGAGTTACAGATTTTACAGGATCCCTCTCAGATGAACCAGAAAACCAACCAAGGACATGGGGTGTTAAGCAGAGAGGGAAGGGTGATGTCCTAAGCAATGACATCCCATTACTTTATCAGCCAATGTAGCTGCTGCACGTCATTGCTCAAGAACATCAGTCCTGTTGGATGAATTACCAAGATAAGGGTGGAGGGGAGAGATAAGCATACTGGAAAGAAACAGAACTGGAAATATTGCTGTAATGTACAGTAATTTGGATGGAACCAATCTTCAACTGCCGGGTGGCTGAGAGCTTATCCACGGGTATATTGTGATCAGACTTGATTCCAGTGTTAGGTATCACAGCATTGGAAACAAGGTATTAAACACCTGTAGTTCAAAATAAACACTGGAAAAAACAAAGTGATACTCAAGTTCAGCTCTGTTTGAACTCAACTCAAACTTAATGCTGCAAATAAACTGCTGGCTGAATAATTTGAAGTGGGTCCATCCATCCATCTATTACCTATATATCCTTATCCTGAAGAGGGTCACGGGGGGCTGCAGCCAATCCCAGCTGACATTGGGCGAGAGGCAGGGTACAGCCTGGACAGGTCGCCACTCTATCACATGGCTGACACATAGAGAGAGACAACCACACACACCCACACTCACTTCTACGATTTGGAGTCACCAATCAATCTCTGGGAGGCACAGTGAGAACATGCAAACCCCACACAGAAAGGCATCAGATTGGCCAGGGCTTGAACCCGGAATGCTCTTGCTGTGAAGCGACAGCACTAACCACATATTCAGAGTATTTAAAAACAATTAAATAAGCTGTTGCTTCACTTGCGGCTGCACAGCAATGACTCAGTTTTAAAGAAAACAATGGCACTTCTTCATAACTATTCAACAAACAAATGCTAAAGTGATCTACTAAAAAAAAGAAAAAGTCGAATGAAAAACATCCCAAATTTGTAGGCAGAATTTGTTCTTTTTTTTTTTTTACCATAATGTCATGGCAAGCACACATACTGTATTTCTCCACAGCTAATTAAGGGGTTTTTCATGGTTATGGCATGAAACAGAGAGAGACCAGTCACTTCACTGCCTGTTGGCAAACTCTGCTGTTACAGCATTCCTCTGATTGCTGGATGACCATGTGATGTGCTCTATGGATGTGAGGGTGGGATGCAGAGGAAAGGTGGAGACAGGTGGAGAAGTATCAATTAAACTGAACTTAATTTGACAATATAAGGCAAGTCACAAAGTTATGAGTGGGAAAACAAAAACACAAAAGAAAGAGGACAGGCGAGCTAAGCATGACAAAATGAAGGAAAGAGCGGATGACATCAAGAGTGAGCACATGGAAGAAGCAGTGGAGCAAGACCAAGCTAAAGTCTGGATTAGCCACCATCCACAAAGACAGAGTAGAACTTAAAGAAGAACTATGTGCAGATATAAACACGTTCAAAGAAGAACAAAGCCACTGTGTTCCCAAATCCCAACAACTTTGGTGAGCACAGTGTTATCATAACCAACTGAAATTTAACATGAACTGGAATATTCTTTAAATTCAACCCGAGTCCATGTATACAGCTCTGAAACCATTCAACTAAAAAGATTTGTAAGCAGAGCTTACATCCTTTTCTTAAGTGACTGTCACTCAGAAATTGAAGATACATTTCTAGGTTCTACAGGGCTCCTATATGATAGCACATGCAAATACAGTGTGTGTTTTGATTAGCTCAATGTGACAAAATCAGTAGTGGAGGAAATTATCTTATGTTGTAAATTACAGCTTGCATGTTGCAACTTTGTTGTTGTACAGACTGTGCATTCTGTAATAATAAAAGATTTAGAATATAAGCAGTATTACGAGCTGTTACTACAGGGTTACTAAACCTGTAACATTTCTTATAGGTCCCACCTTTCATATAATTTCTGTTTTGTGGTGCATGTCGCTTTTGTTCCTCCACTGGACCCAGCGGGTAACTGCAGTTTCTGAACAAAGCAAGGCGGACTAAGGGATCTAGGAGAGTAAAAGGCAGAGGGTCAAAGAAGGACAAAAAACCAGAAGCAGAAAACCAGGACCTAACATTCGGAAAATATTAAAACAGCACTATGGTTCCTCTGAGGCAGATGCAAGGGGTTATAGCCAACATAGACCTACGTGTTGATGTAGTAAGATGACAAGAGCCCTGCTAATGGAATCATGCATTTGCAGTTCTGATCAAAGAGCAGCTTCCCTCTACATGACCATGACATGGAAAGGACTACTGTTTCTTGAAGCAGAGCAGGGTTGAGGTCACATTTCACTGCAGTCGTTGAGTACGACTGCAGTGAAATGGAAAGAAAACCATCATAAGAGGACTTGTCAGGAGGTTTCTTGGCAATCCTTATTTCCTTTGAGAGCTCTCAAATAATGCCCAATAAGAGGAGACTGGACCTGGCTTCTGCTGTCTGTTATGGCTCATTACATACACAGGGTGGAAAGGTTCACTGCTGCTGAAGCATGAGTTAAAGAGCAAAGATGAAGCTGAAAAGAGGCAAAAATTAAAGGGATTCACAAGCATAGTCACTAGAAAAACAGCAAAAATATATTTTAAATGATACCATTCTGAACATACCTCTACATTCCTTCTGCTGCTGCTTCGATTTCATCTTCTGAGCTCTCTTGATCATTAGAAGAGCTGTGCGGCTGTCGCTAAAGCCCCTGGAGACAGAAAACCCCACTCAGTGAAGTAAGCACACATACACTGATGGGGACAAAAAGAGTCAACACTTAATGTATGACACAATGCATGATAAGACTATGATTTACCATTCCTCCAAAATCGTTTTTGATCTTTCAGAGAAAGCACTGAGCACTGAAGTGGCAGCAGGAGATTTGCTTCTGAAACCACAAAGAGATGAAGAGATGCATAAAGTTTTAGAAAGCATCACATTTACAGTATAGCACTAAACATAGAGTACATTGCTTACTCTAAGTGTTACTACTCATTTTTTTCTTTTTCTATAGTCTAATATTTACACTACTGTATATGCATGGTGTAAAATAAATTAAGTGGAGTGTCAATCACATTTTCATTCCATACTGGTAAACCAGACACTAATTAAGCTGTGGGTTGTCCTACTGTACCTGCTGGAGCTCTCTGGAGGAATTCGCCGCCCAGCAGAGGCTACCTGTTCTCCAGCAAGCCAGGCCTGCTTTGACCTCCGTACCAGTGGTGGTGAGAGTGTGTACTGGGAGGGTTCAGGAAAGGGCCCAGGAGGCTAAAGTACAAAGTCATCTTTGTCAGCAGCAATTTACAGCTCTTATCACACTAAACAGATTTCCAATAGCCCACTTATTAGACAAGCAGCAGCTACTTTTTTTTTACTAGCTTCAAAAGGTTTCACAGTTTTTACTTTACTCAAGTGGTGAAAGGAAACTTCACATCTGCCTCAGTGAAAACTGAGTCCTCATGAGACATGTGATGTTGGAGCTCTTAATGAAAAAAATGGAGGTTAAGCTCTATCTAGAAAACAGATCCCTCAGTATACCTTAGGGAAAATGAAATATATTGTATACAATAATGTCCAGTCACATTTAACTCAAGTGCTTGTTTTTATTTGAGTCTGGCTCACACTTTTAACGAAAGCGAGTTTTCACACTCAAGGGATGCTCATATGTAAGTCAAACTAACAGCTTATTACTCTCCAGATCCTGTTGTCGTTCTGTCAGGCGCTACATTGTTCATCCTTGCCTTTGATGTGTACCTCAATGTCAACACATTGAGCCTGGCCACAACAGCAGCTGCACCACATCAGCTGGCCTAATCCAGCCACCGTGATGTACAGCACTGTGCACGCTCCAAAGAAAAGATCCAACCAGAGGTAAATGAAGAAAAACAAAAAAAACAGGACACCATTCCACTAACTTGAAAAATGACATCTGCTGGTGCTGACCAACCTTCAGGCCTCCAGAAAATAATCTTGTTTTTCAAGAGAATAAATTTAAAGATCAATCAGGGAGAGCGAGAGAAATCCTGGAGGGGGTAATATGCAAGATGAAAAAGGCACAGGCCAAGATAATAACTCTTGTTGGCAGGGACAAAATTCACCAGATACTTTCACTATAATACCAGCTGACCACATTTAAAGAGTGTCCTGAAACAGCTACCTTTACCTTCATAGACAGTGGCAGATCTGATGCATGCTGCTCACTGCAAGGTGAATCTGCAGAAAACCGCAAAGTCCAGGATTTGTCAAGTGCTGCCTTTGAGAAAGTTAAACATACATATTACAAACATCCAAAAGTACATATATGAAAACTGTCTTCAGTTCAGAATAATACTGTATAGAATATATAATATTACAGTGTACTGTGTATATATTGTGTACAGTATATATTACATAATGGAGTTGTTCAGTGTCAAGAACAGGTTAAATAGATTTGATGACGTGTGTTTTGTTCGTAATGTGTGTGTATGGCTTTACACACTGGTTAGTGTCTGTGTGATATGCTGTGTCTGTTTTTGAATGTGTGTCCAAATGTATGTCTGCAGGTTTATGTGTAAAGTAATTTGTTTTTGAACGTACATGCTCAGACATTTGTCAATGTCTGGGCGTGTTTCTGTGTCTATGTTCGTATCTTTGCAGATTCGCATGTGTGCAGGTTGGTCTGTGCATGGAGAGAGTGCTGGGTGAGTGTACTGTACTGTGTGTATATATTCATGCATCTTTGCATCAGCCTCTGTGCAGGTTTGTGTCTGATGAAGCATGAAGAGGGGAATTACTGAACCATGAAAGCGTAAAACACATGAATTTGTGTGCATACCCCATCAAAGACAAATTCATCCACCTCCTCAAATGTGTCATCCTCTGTGGTGTTGGGGCATGTGACAGCAGCAAGAGCAGACGCGAGCCTCCTTCTCAGAGCGAAGCCCCTCCATAACGCCTGGAGTTACCCAAAGAAAGACATGTTAGAAAACTCCATGAATCACGGGGCAAACATAAATACTGTGCATTATCCCATTAGGGAAATAAAACATGTTAACCCCTCTTTTAATTGCTGAATGTTCTGCTGCCTGAACTCTGCGTGACTCCGGGCTGTTCCGAGACAAATGGAGCTCCAGTGTGCCTCTAAATCCGCCAATTCCCAACGGGCTGGGGGGGGTGCACGCTTCACTTCAAGTTGAGCTGAGCAGGAATCCTAGAACTCTTACTACTGCACTTCTCTGGAATCTGATTAATCACTCTGTCTCCCCACTACAACACACAC